GAAATGGCTTTTGACTCCGGCTTTGACGTTTGACTTTTTATATGTGTATTCAAGCCACATCTCATTCGCCTTGCAGCAGTTTTCCACCTGTACACATTTCAAAGTGTTATAGTTTGATCAGCCCGTGTTCTTCTTCGTTGTTTTGAGGTTCTTTTGTGCAGCCGAGTGAATCCACGGACTGTTTAGAAACGTCTCTTGTGCCGCCGGGCTTTGCGATGCATGAATGCATGAAAATGAGTCGTTCTGTTTGAAGTCGATTATAATCTGTGGAGGTTTTCAAAGCCATTTTCCCCGGGAGGTTTTTGGCAGGATATTTGTTAAATTGTGGAGAATCTGTGTGGCTGCATCTTATGACACTGAACAGTCATTTTGTGCAGACATGTTTTATGACATACGCTCCTGAGAATGAATCAGTGGTGACTGATTGGATTTTACAGTGTTACAAGGAGTTAATTTATCCCAGAGGTTGAACCACTGCACACAAGGTGTCTCCTTCTCTGAAAGCGTTTCACAAAGTCATGCTTTTCCTAACGTGTCACAAACTGAGCTTTAAAAAGAGGACAGACTCAGAAGACTTTTGCTTCCTTGAAAAACGATGCGTTGTTTGAAGTTCTAAAGCTTTAACGCGATTGCTCCCCGGTGTGTACAATACATCTTTGTCTAAAGTTTCAATTGAGGAATCAGACAGACTCGTGCCTCTCAGCAGAACCCTCAGGCCCGGTTCCAAGGCTCACGCCGCTGACCTCCTCTTTCCTCCCGGCCGCCGTCAGGGCCGTCGAGGGGCAGAGCAAGTCAGCGGTTCTTGCTCGCTGGAGGTTAAGCTCAGCATCAACGGCCTTGAGCCTCGCAAATTCTCCAATTGGACCATTTTTCTCTCAGTGAAGAACCTCCCACCTTCAGCCCTTCGGAGGCCTTGATAGGAGGATGCTGCTGACGGGGGAAGCAGCCCCGAGGGGGCGAGATGCTCAGTGGACAACCAGGGAGCACAGACTCACATGTGTGTGTGCACACAGATGCTTTACGTATTAACGCACCCACACAAGTGCTCTTGCGGTCGGGAGATTAACAGGAGAGTCATCAAGTCCTGGAGGTTTCATGTGATGGCGTTTAGCAAAGATTCCATATAAGGTGTCAAAATCCAAATCCAAAGCACGGACTCATGGGAATAAATCTGCGCTTCTTACGGGATTCATGGGAGGGGGAAGCCTGCTATTTTTGTGTGACTGACGCACGCCTCTCGCACACTGGACGCGGATTGGAGGAGCGTTGCAGGTCACCGCTCACAGCTCACGTCCGGCCAATCGGCGAGCGGCGTGGAGCCCTTGTCGTCGCAGCGATGAGTCCGCGCTGTCAGAGCTGGAGGGTTTGAGGAGCCACGGTAAACAACTGGGACCGACACACACACACATAAAGATGCACACAAACGCACACACACTAATCACAGTGGACAAGCCTTCGCTTCCCATTAAGTCCAGCGCTGCCCTGAGGACGGGGCAGGAATACTTCACCACAAAGAGACGGGCCAGAACAATGAGTGTGTGTGTGTGTGTGTGTGTGTGTGTGTGTGTGTGTGTGTGTGTGTGTGTGTGTGTGTGTGAGGCGGTGCTCGTGCCTTCACCTGACACTGATTATCCTCTCCAAATAATTACCTTCATTGAAGGAAGCATAAGGATGGTTCCATTTGAGAGAGAAAAGGGCTCATTTCACAAAACAGAGTTAAGCCAATTTACAGCAAAGCAGAAAGAAAGCGGCCGGAGGTTTACTGGATGTAGAACATGTGGGTGTTTAAACCCTTCAGCGTGAAAAGGCAGCTCGTGTTTGAACAACCCCCTCGACCGCCATTAGCACCCCACTGGCAACGCACCCCCGTTCTGGTGAGCTTAAAGGTGCAGTGCGTGGGGTTTGGCGGCGTCCAGCAGCGCGGCTGTGAGAGACGTGAACCTTCCATTTCTGCAGACAGACGTCCCCATGAACCCTGTGAAGGAACGGAGTTGTGGAGTTGTGGAGTTGCGGAGTTGCACAGTTGCACAGTTGCACAGTTGCTTTTGGATGCAAATCGCAGAAGTGAGCGTTGCTCTGATTCCACACTGTTGTAGTAACTGTTTACACCACGGCTGGCTGTAAAGAGGATTTTTATTATAACCTTATATTATATGTTATTTCATGCCTTTTTTTCAGACCAAAATTCACAAGTTGGTAATTGACTGGTTATTTTATTTAAGTCTCCAGCCTGTGGCCCTTATTTTAGGCATCTAACCAATACAACCTTTAAGACTTAAGACAGTCTCTCCTACAGCACCATGGTTAACATTTTGGGAGTTATTATTGATTATTATTGATTTTCCTCTGAAAAGTAAGTAATAATAAGATTGATGGCTCTCCTGTAATTGTCTGAAATTCATACAGCTCCATATTCCATGTCTGTGTCGGCTACAGAGGTGTTTACCGTTAACAATAGCTGTGTAACCGCACACTTAAAAATGACCGTCACAATGTTAGTTAGCGAATCAGTGCCATTCGAACCACAATGTGTGGGTGTTGTTGTATTTTCAAACAGATAAAAGAGCAGAACACGTCAATGCTTCACTGCAGAAAGCACCGCTTTCAATTAGAGCTTCTGACGAGCGTTTCTCCTCAGAGTAAATATACACACAGGTCAAACAAGAGCGTGAGCTCTCACTCCTCAAACACAGATATATCCTCTCCTCTCTTCTTCTATCACAGGTCGGTGCTCCGGCTTCCTTTTGACAAATCACCACATTAAACGTGGATATTTTCAGGCGCACCCCGCTTCCCTCCGCTTATTGCTTTCAGATAAAACTGAAAAATTTCCATTCATCTATTTCCGTTTGTCGGTGCTCGTACCACACACACACACACACACACACACACACACACACACACACACACACATACAAGATGTGCACAAACATTTACACAAACACACACTCCTTTGTCTCCTTGGTCGTTAATAATGTACTGATGGCAATACTGTGGTTACTGACCCAAAGCCAACCCATTAATCAAACCATACATCGCAGCATATGATCATCAGAGAAGTGCTGCAGGTGAATGTCTTGCAGCCGGGAGAACAAACTCAACGCTGCCCAGCAGCTGAGACCAGATGGACAAACGTGATGGGAAACAAATAGGACGAAGCTGAGCTATTTCCACAAACAAGCCCTGTGTCGGCTGTCTGCACTACCTGCGTGTTGTCATTCAAACACATCTGGGTCTCCTGATTGGCTGAATGGAGATAGAGTTCCTCATTAAGACGACCTGAGTCGGCTGGTATCTAAAGTGACCATCACCGGGGACTCAGTGGTGGTCACAGAGGGGTCCATAACGGGCCTAAACAGGGCCAGGGAGGAACAGCACGGTGGGGATGTCCTGCCATCTAGTGGCAGAGAGGCGGGACCACAGCAGAACACCAGTAGAACTGCACGTCTGCTGTGATTAAAAGACATTTAACATTTCGGACATTTCAAGGCTTCGTGTTTTTTTTTTAGTTTTCTCAGTTATGCATGACACATTTTAGTATTGCATTTTGGTAATCAAACACTGTGATTAGTGGTGTTTATTTGATATTTGCTCTGTGACTGCGGATCAAAGAGTGTGAGCAGCAGAAGTATTTCGGTGTTTGTGTCGTACACCAAAATAGTCGCGGGTTGCAGTTGCCGTGGTAACAGTAACAGGACCCTTGAAGAATGAGCTCTGCTCTGTTGTTGGTGTCGTTGTGGCGGTGGAGCAGCCGATGGCATGTTTGGACATCTGCTAGTGGAGGTGTTCTACTTGTAAATATGAACTTTACTGTCTGTCGAGGTCCTGATTGATGGGTTTTGATGAATGACCTCAGTGGATCCTTTGGGTATCTTTGTTTGTATACCAGCTAATATAAGTATGTGTCTTGTTATTGTTCTACAACACGTCATATTCATATTGTCTGTGTTAGTATTGGGTATTTTGGGGCATTTATGTGTTATAGATGTTGTATTTATTGCTGAATTTCTTAAGTGTGCACGTATTTAGAAAGCATGCTATCAACATAACATTTCACATCTTGATTTTTACCAAGGATACATAAAGATGGAAACGACAAGAAACTTGAGATTATGACCTAGTAATCAACTAAATGACATGATGATATCTTTTATCAGAAAACCCAGTAGTATCTGCTGGGGGAGAGTTGATCTCATTAACTTAGTGAGCTACATTCTGGACTGAAACTGGGCACAGCGTTTTATTGTCTTATTCAAATGATCGGCCTGTCAAACAATGATTGTCTGAGGTCACTGAAGGGGGGGGTCAGTGTGTGCATTGCTCCACACGGGTTCCTCCTGCTGAGGTTCATGAGGCGTCCTTCTGATTGGACAACACAGACCTCTCTGTTCTCTCTTTTGGCCAAACTTTCGTTTCAGCAGAGTTGAGTCATTGAGCTCCTGTCGGTGCTTATGGTTTGTGTGTGATGATTTGTGTATTCTTTAATTTTTTTCTATAAATACTTAATCAGGAACGAGCTCGAGATACATTAGATTTCTCATCTGGACATTAGTAATTGTCACCACAGTGGCTTGTAGTTGATCACCGGTCATCACATGTCCCAGGCCCTCAACACTGAAAAAAGCGTAACAAAGCTGTTGTTCATTTAATGTGTTTTTTTTCATTCCAATGAATAAAAAAAAATACTTTGCTCTACTAAACTAAACTTTTTTATTTATGGGTTAGGGTTTAATCGAATTTTTTACTTTACTACAATGTAAACTGATAGCAAGGCACCAAACTGATTTTTTTTATTTTAATCAAAGCATTTTTATTAGATTGAGTGATTCGCGCATGCGCATTCTTTAAAAGTTCTGGCGGAAACTTATTTCCACCTCAATCTTCCATTGCAGAGGACGTTGTGAAAAATATCAGACCCCACGGCATTTTGGTAACGTTAAGGTAAGTCATTACGATTTTTAAAGATGACCGGGCGAAAATGTTAGCCCGCAGACAAAGTGTCTGTCTTAAGTGTCTTAAGTGTTTGCTTTTGTGGGCAATTAATCGTTCGGCTAGGGTTGGCGCTGGGGGGAGGGGGTTCGCCGTTCGGGAGGGAGGCGAGTGAGGTGGGAGCAGATGGCGGCAGAATACCAGTGTTCCAGTCGACGTTTACATTCTGAAAAGCGTATATACGGCGTTAGCGCGTAGCTAACTACCTAGCTAAAACTATATACGGCGTTAGCACGTGGCTAACTAGCTAGCTAACACTATACACGGCGTTAGCACGTAGCTAACGAGCTAACGTTAGTTAAAACTCCCGGTGTAAAAATAAAAAAATGTTCTTGTGACTTATAGATAGTGGAATAAATATTACTGGTACTGTGGTGTTTACTGTGCTATTGTACTGTGTGTTATTGCTTACTGTGCTGTATTTTCTCGTTTTGGTAAAGCTAAACTGACCTGTGTAATAATTAAGCAACTGAAATAATGTTTTGTCAGGTATTTTATTTCATAGGCATAGTAAATCCGATTTAAAAAGAACAGAAGGCATAATAATGTTTTGTCATTTTTAAACTGTATTAAGATGTAGTTCATGTAACATTGAGAATATCCATCATTAAAACGTTTTTTTCTCTTAATTTAAGGAGAGCTGCCACAAGATCCACTGTGTTCCTGCTGTGCAACCACCAGTTTGGAAGTCCCTCATCTTATTGTAGTAAGTTCTGAGTACAATATCATGAGTGTATTTGTGATAATTAGATCACTCTCCTAAAACCGTCCTTTCCTCTGCCTTTTTATTTTTCCTCAGTTATCCATGTATGTGGAAATGTAAACTACAGAAAAACAACAACCGTCAAACAATAAAAGAAAAGATGGCAAAGACGTTTGGATACCGTAGACAAGAAAAAGTGCATAAGCAGCCGAGCATTGAAGACATGTTGACAAGATGGCCAGCACTTTTTCAGATGGAAGAGGTATGTTTTCAGATGCAAGGCACTGTAAGCCTATTTTTGAGAGGAGAGGGACTTAATATATTTGTTAATGCCAATGGTGTTCATGAGCATTCATGAAAGATGATTTTTTTTAACCTTAAAAACTTAGGTCTTTTCAGAGGAGAATTTATTTAATACACTTTTTAAAAGTTCTTTCTGCGTGCTCTGTTATTGTTTCTCCAGATTAATGCTGAGTTCATGCGGGTGACAACAGTACCCTTGGAGACAAAGTTCTTAGCGCAGTTGGACAAGCACACGTCAAAACTGCTGGAGGTCATCAGGAGCAAGGGAGGGCGTGTGAAAGAGCTGACCAAGGCAACTTTGCAGGTTTTAGATGAGGTATCTATTTATGAATTGGTTCTTAATGCGATCCATAGTTGAATAGTTGGTGTGTATGTGCTTTTATTAATACCTATATTTCCTCAGACCGTGGACATCACAATTAGAAGAGAGTGCATCTTCAAATCTTTGATCAGCTACCTGGGTGAACCTGTTCATCATCTCATTAAAGACTGCCAGGTAAGGGCATCTCCCTCACTAACACAAACAATATCTATATACCAACTTTGCTTCAACAATGATGTTCAGCATTGACATGCATTGTCTTCAGGAAATGTTCTTTCCAATTGTCCTCATTTATTGTTTTTTTGTGTGTGCAGGAAAATGAAGCAGCCATAGTAATCGTCAGTGGAAACGAGGACATTAAAATCGTCATTGACGGACGAAAGGTCCTCAGAGAGGTGCCCACAATAGCAACGGCTGTTGCTATGTTCTTCGGGCTCACCTATGTTCTCAACATAAAATATCCCAAAAATCTGCACTATACCCTTGAGTTTGTGCAAAAGGTCCTGATGAAGCTTGGTGGAAAAAAGATGTCCCCAAAAATTCATAGGCTGAGTACCCAGCTTGGCAGCCAAGAGTAGGCACAGTAGAGTTCCACTGTTAGGCTTGATTTAATGGCATTTCTACAACCAAGACTTTGTACCGTTTTATCTGGGGTTGGTGTTTGAAACACTTGCACAACTACATTTCTGCTACAGTATGGACAAAAGAATCTGCCTAAGGTTTCACAGGCGCAAGTGGGTATTGTGCTGGAGAGCACTGATTTGTTTATTGCAGCATTTTCTGACCAAGAGGATCAGGAGCTACCTCACTCGTTTGCAAGTTATGGAACTGAGGACGTTCACACACATCACTTTTGATTTTAAGGAATAATTCCTCTCTGACTGTATTACATTGCATTTTCAAATGGTCACTGTTCAGTGAGAAAAATGTTCCCAAATGCTGTTGGTTTACTTGAAAATGCATGTCTTCATTACTGTTTGTGTTTGAGATGTGATGGTTGAGAAGCACTGGTTTATGTTAATACAATGAGATGTTGCTGTTGTATTTGAGGGGAAAAGACATCATTGAGAAGGACTGTTTTTAAGGTGGGACTATGTTGAAAAAAATGTTCATTCAACAATAAATGTGTTGAAAAGGAATGGCTTCTGAGTTTAAATCAAAATGTATTAAAATATCTTTTTTTTAATTCAGGTCTATAAATATTAAAGTATCACTTTAAATTTTTATTTGAGACAACTTAAAAAAATAGTTTTCTCCGATATTCAAAAGCTGTTTAAATGAATTTAAAATATTCAGGTTTAACAAAGTAGATTATTTACATTAAGCAATAAAACCAATGTATTTATTTTAATTTAGGAAAATCTGAAATAATTGCTTTGGTTCAACCTTCAGAAATGGGTTTACACGAAGTTAAATATTTCAGGTCAAATCAAATGAATTATTTATATTGTATAACACTAGAATATTAGTTGTGATCGATTACCTCAATTTTTCTAATTTGAGCCAATGTTAGATTTTTTTCAGTGCATGTTTCCTTCACACCAATATGAATAGGAATGTTTTGCCCACCTAATTGTAAACTGAACTACCAAGTAGAGAAAGTACTGCTACTAAATAATTGTCAATACAGTGGGTCAATTCTAATTCTAATTTCTTATTTATTACTTTCAATAAATAATAACCCATTTAAAACTTATGTGCATGTGTAAGAGAAACTTGAGATGTGAGTTATACAATATGAAGTAGTTTTGCTATGAAAACCTGATACAACACATCTGGTATCAAAGAATGTAGAATACATAAATATAGCATACCATTCAACTTTGCACTGGGCGTGGAGAGGTCCGGACCAGCAGAACTCAGGGGCACAAAGCGCCAGCAGCACAAACCAGGGGAGCGGCTGCATTTCGCTCCAAACCGACTCAAAAGTTCTGCTGGGATTTAACACTCACGCGGACATAAAATCACAGGACGGTCATGTGCTTTGCTGAAAAGGAAACAGGCGTAATTACATTGACTTCAGGAGAAGATGTAATAAAGAGTGGAGACACAAACCACGTCTGTCATTAGGCCGCTTCCACTCGATGCGCCCAAACAAGCAAGTAGCTCTAATTCTGTTTGGCTTCCAGAGGTGTCCAAAGTATTCACATTCATTACTCAAGTAGAAGTACACATACTAGGGTTTAAAAAGACTCCTATGTGGGGATACGGGACAGGGTCACAAGGGGGAGCCACAGTAATTCTGGAGGTAGCGGGTGGGACTCTTGTTCTCTCTTCTGTGGTCTAATCAGATTGATGCAGGGCAGCTGGGAGGAGTGCACTCATCGCTGGCAGCTGCTGCAAGTCTTCGGGGAGCAGTTAAAGAGGGACATCTTTCAGAGGTTCGGCGCCGAGGGATTGCCGAGTACAGCTTTCCAGACACGCGTTTTCCTGGGTCCGGAGACTTCAGTGGCTTCCATTCCTACGTCACGAGGGAGACACGGGACGCCGCCGACGACGGCGGTGCATTGCCGGAAGGCCTGAGTATTTGAGTTGTCGTTTGGGAAGAGAGACAATAAATACGCATTTTGTGTTTATACTTTACCTGGTTCCGGTGTTTGCTTTTGGATCCCTCTCACGAGCCGTGACAGAATCCCTCGGCCATACAACATGGATCCAGCAAACCCGGCATCCGTGCAGGAGGCTCTCAGCGCCCAGGGAGCGATGGTGGGGAGGCACGAGCAGATGCTGGTGCTGATGATGGAGTCCTTGGAGAGGCTGAATCGACTGATGGACCGGCCTGGGACGTCGGGGGCTGCGGCATCGGGAGGTCCGGATCCTCCAGGGAGAGAGGAGGACCAGGGTCCGACCAACGCCGCCAACGACCGGGAGCCGCGGGTTCCACTGCCAGAACCGTATGCAGGGGAAGCCGGGGGGTGCGGCCGCTTCTTACTGAACTGCGAGCTCGTGTTCGACCTGCAGCCCCGCAGTTATACCACCGACAGAGCCAAGATAGCTTTTTGTATGAATTTGTTTCGGGGAAGGGCGGCCCAGTGGGCGACCGCGTTGTGGGGGGGTCAGTCCTCGGCGTTGAGCTCTTTCGCGGGTTTTTCTGAGGAACTGCGACGTGTGTTCGACCACCCGGTGCGGGGGCAGGATGCTTTGAATAGGCTGCTGTCGCTGCGGCAGGGGTCTGAATCAGTGGCGGACTTTGCTATCTCGTTCCGGATCCTTGCCGCCGAGAGCGGTGCCAACGAACACACGCTAAGGACCATTTTTGCGCGGAACCTGTCGGAGACCCTGAAAGACGAGCTGCTCTCTCGCGACGCCACCACCACTTTGGAGCAGCTTATTTCGTTGGCAATTACGATGGATAATCGCATTCAGGAACGTGAACGCGAGCGGGGGAGGCGGCCGTCGCGTCCGCAGTTCTCGGGGGGGGAGTTTTCGGGAGGCGCGGGCGAGCCGATGCAGTTGGGGCGGGCTCGGTTGACTCCGTCCGAACGCGAACGGCGGTTTAGTCGTCGACTGTGTTTGTATTGCGGACGCGCGGGACATTATGCTAGGAACTGTCCGGAGTCCCCAAACGGGGCTCCTCACCAGGCGGAGAGGACCTCCTGGTGAGTAACGCAGCGTCCTCTACTATCCCATCCCGTATTTCCATTCCGGCCATTCTACTGTTTCATTCCCATAATCACTCGACCACCGCCCTCGTGGACTCCGGTTCTGATGCTAATTTTATGGACGAGGGACTAGCCGCACGGTTGCGAGTACCGTTAGAGACGCTCGAGAGCGCCAGGGCAGTTAACGCGCTAGATGGTCGACTGATCAGCCGGGTCACGCATCGCACAGGCCCCCTCACGCTCCGTATATCGGGAAACCATTCAGAAACCATTCAGTTGCTAATTATTCCGTCTCCGGCGAGTCCGATCGTGCTGGGTCTCCCGTGTTTAAAACTTCATAACCCCATGGTGGATTGGACAACTATGGCCATCGCGGGCTGGAGCGTGGGGTGTCATGCCCGGTGTCTGCGGGCTGCGGGGGGAACACCAGCGACGTCAGTGGTACCATCACTTCCTCCAGACTTATCCACGGTTCCATCAGTCTACCATGACCTTGCGCAGGTGTTTAGTAAGGACAAGGCTTGTACTCTGCCACCGCACCGACCTTTCGATTGTGCGATAGACTTGCTGCCGGGGGCTCCGCTGCCCACTAGCCGTCTTTTTAACATCTCCCGCCCGGAACGGTTAGCAATGGAAAAATACATTCGGGAGTGCCTGGACGCGGGTTTCATCCGTCCTTCGTCCGCCCCGTTAGGCGCGGGGTTCTTTTTCGTTGAGAAAAAGGACCACTCACTGCGTCCGTGCATTGACTATCGGGGCTTGAATCGGATCACGATAAAGAATAAGACTCCATTGCCGTTAATCGACCCGTCATTCGAACCTCTCTCTCAGGCGCAGTTTTTTACCAAGCTGGATCTCCGAACCGCCTATCATTTGGTTCGTATCCGCGAAGGTGATGAATGGAAGACGGCCTTTAACACGCCCATGGGGCAATTCGAGTATCGGGTCATGCCGTTTGGGTTGACAAATGCCCCGGCCGTCTTCCAGTCATTAATGAATAATCTGTTTCGGGATATCACCAGTAGCTTCGCTTTCATTTATCTGGACGATATCCTGATTTTCTCCCGGTCCCTCACCGAGCACCAGCAACAGGTGCGACTGGTGCTGCGGCGACTTTTGGAAAACAGGCTATACGTTAAACCCGAGAAGTGCGAATTTCACGTGGCGTCGGTTCGTTTCCTCGGGTTCGTGATTGCGCGGGGGCAGGTGGAACCGGATCCTGATAAGATTCGAGCGGTAGCAGACTGGCCGATCCCGGGCACGCGGAAGGACTTACAGCGGTTCCTGGGGTTCGCAAATTTTTATCGCCGGTTTGTGAGGGACTTCAGTAGAGTGGCCGCACCTCTCACCGCGCTAACATCCACCAAGGCATCCTTCTGCTGGACGCCAGAAGCACAGGGGGCGTTTAGTAAATTGAGGTCTCTCTTCACCAGCGCCCCTATTCTTAGGCACCCTGATTCCGCTCGGCAGTTTGTGGTGGAAGTGGATGCGTCGGAAGCAGGGGTCGGGGCCGTTCTGTCTCAGCGAGATCCGTCAACGCAGAAGTTACATCCATGTGCTTTCTTCTCCAAACGGTTGAGTCCGGCGGAGAAGAATTATGACGTCGGGAATCGGGAGCTGCTGGCAGTGGTCCTCGCGCTACAGGAATGGCGGCATTGGTTGGAGGGTAGCCTGCAGCCCTTCTGGATTTGGACGGATCACAAGAATCTGGCGTACATCCAGGCAGCTCGGAGGCTGAATTCCCGACAAGCACGGTGGGCCTTGTTCCTCAGCCGTTTCCAGTTTACGTTGTCCTATCGCCCGGGAAGCAAGAACGGCAAGCCGGACGCCCTTTCCAGGATCTTCCCGCCGCCGGCATCACCGGATTCCACGCCCATACTTCCGTCCGAGTGTATTGTAGGTGCGGCAACTTGGGAGATCGAGTCGGTGGTGCAGGAGGCGCAGCGGGGGGAGTCGGTGCCAGAGGGGGGACCAGCGGACCGCCTGTTCGTGCCACGGACGGTCAGATCGCAGGTACTTCAGTGGGGCCATTCATCGAAGCTGACGTGTCATCCGGGGGCGAGACGGACGGCTCTCTTCATTCGTCAGCAGTTTTGGTGGCCGGGACTGGATCGAGACACGAGGGCGTTTGTGGCGGCGTGCCCCGAATGTGCCAGAGGTAAGGCCTCTCACCAGGCCTCGGCGGGCCTGCTGCAACCATTGCCTGTCCCGGGCAGGCCGTGGTCCCACATCGGGGTGGACTTTGTTACGGGCTTGCCTCCATCCGACGGGAACACAACCATTCTGACCATAGTGGACCGTTTTTTCCAAAGCGGTCCATTATGTTCCCCTCACCAAACTGCCTTCTGCGTTGGAGACCGCCGAGCTGTTGGTCTTGCATGTGTTCCGGATTCACGGGATCCCTATGGACATTGTATCCGACAGAGGACCGCAGTTCGCGTCTAAGGTATGGGGTGCGTTTTGCAGGGCTGTGGGGGCAAGGGCCAGTTTATCTTCAGGGTATCATCCACAGTCCAACGGACAGACTGAGCGGGCAA